GGCAATTAACAATGTGTACATGGTCTCAAAATAAACTCGCGTGGTACAGAGAAGTAAAAAAATGCATAGAATATTCGTGGTAAAAACACTAAAGCAAACAATGTTCTTCACTTTAGTTGACCAACAGGAATGCTGCTAGCTAAGACATCTACAAAAAAGGAAGTGAATACCGCATTTTTGAGTTCGACTAGGGTTATTCAGATGCCATTATCTGACCTCTGATGTGTGACATTACTAAGAAGCATCGTTAGCTCAAAATAAAGAAACAATTTACTGAGCATGAAGGCAGGGGAAAGAGTAAACCACATTTTGTCAAGTCGAATCAACTTTAGCTATTTGTGATTTGCTATAACTTTACAAGGCTCGTTCAAGGTGAGGCTCTCAAGTTGGTGAAGTCCTCTGTAACAAAGGCACTGTGGTTTCACAGTTATGTGCCTCCTTTGAAATTCCGACACTACGAGGTGTGCGCCATAGTTTACCAAAATGTATTTCAAAAAGAAAATTATAAACAAACTTAGCATATAATTAAGCGTTGCATCAAGTAAGTTGACAAATGCGGCTCGATTTCTTACATCGACAAATTTTTGTCCCCTATTTCCACGTTGAGCGTACTCCTCCAACTCCTTTATGGTAATCCAACCCTTGTTTTCTGTATCAATCTCCTTGTAAATGTGGTGCAGTGCTTGCGCCATTTCACACTCGTGTGGCAACACACTTCTGGCGTCAGTGGCCGCAGCTTAGTGGTGATGGTGACTGCCTCTGCTGCACTCTAAGGTCGCCAAAACCACTAAACTTATCCACCAAGCACGTGAATTTTAAGGTGGTAAATGCAGGCGCTGTTGAATCGCCCAGAGAAGGACCGCACATATTACCGCCCAACCAACAGCCGGCTTTGAGAGGTCGTGTCTTCACTTTTTTCCAGCTCCCCTCAAGTCCCCATGTCGCCTGCTCTCTCGATTTCCCTCACGCATATTGGCTAACTGGAGCACAAATTAACAATCGACAATGCAAAAAGTAAACTCGCACCACCACTGCCAAGGCCTTGGAGGCTTACAGGGTGGATTTTGTGCTTCGGCGCAATGTGACAACCTTCTTTGCTTATGCAGAGACCTTGTAAATGATAGATGTCGTGATGACAGCAGCTCTGCACATTGAATAATCCACTTACAAGTGATCAACCTTGGCGTGCCTTCCAGGGCTTTCATTGGGAATGTTTGGATGCAAGTTAGCACTACTTTGTGACAGACCTCATCTCTTTCAAGGCAGAAGATCGACTTGTGAGACCAAAATTTCCTCCTCTCTCTCTGTCATATATGATCACTTGGATTTGTTTAAATTCACAAGAAATACATCCATCAATTTTAAGTAGTGTGGCAGGACAAATGCAAGAATTTATTCTACTAAAGCCCATAATATGTCATTGACGTGGCACAGGATAGTAAAAACCGTGCCTAATTTGCATCTTTTTTGTTTGTTTGTCGTGAAGGGGAGACCGATTGGACTGATCAGAAATGTCCTAAGGGCGAAAGTGGCTTTGCTAATGTGTCGCCGATGGAGGCCTCATGGGGCTGCAATCTGGTCTTTATTAGCAAAAAGAACCAACAGTTGCTCCTCTAAGTCCGCTGATTTGCTTACTTTTTACGCAAAAGTGTTCATTATTTTCTTTTAAGTAGCACTAAGGTTACACTTTACCATTTTGTCGTTCTAATGAGGCTGACATAGGCTTTTGGCAGATTAAAAAGTTCATAAATGATCAAACAGATTTCCATAATTGATTAGGTTTTGTTTACTTTGGTAAGGTGAGCGCTGCAAACAAGGAGGAGAAGGAGAAGGAGAAAGAGCAGACATCGACCGCCAAACAAAAACCACGTGAATGTCACCTTTCAAACGCCATCAGAGCGAAGAGGCGTGTGTCAATGCTGTTTTGAGGATGGCGACTTAAGACTAAAAAATTCTCAATCATGGTGAAAAGTGCCTAAACCTAGGCATTTGCAGTGGGGCTGGGGGAGGGAGGGTAATAATTTAAAATATTTCCACATGACTGACATTCATCAACGGCTACCGCATCACATTCCTTAAAGTACTGATGCAATACGACAAGAGGGGGAAGTGAGAGGGCAATACAAAAGCAAAATTCCAAGTCCTCTGCTTGTGTATCACAATGAAAGGAAGTGGAAGTATGTAGGACTCACCTGTACGAAGGCGTCTGGTATATTTTGCTCTCGTGCATACGTCTCCAAGTCATCGTGTGAGATGATGTGATCGTGATCTTTGTCAATGTTATCAAATGCTACAAGAAATCCACGAACAGCCATCTGTGTGTCAAATTTGGAATTTTTTCGCCGACTGATAGTGCTACCACAATCAAACCACCTCCTGTTTCTTTGCAGAACTTTCAATCACCCCACTGACCAATCCGTGCTCATGTGCTAAGGCTACACATTTGCACACTCCACAATGCACATTAAAATTCGACATGTGAGTCACTTTGCATCGATTCTATTGGTGAATCACAATGAATATTTGTGCTTTTTAATGATGTTGCCATTGTCGTAGTAGTTGCTACAAAATAGCCCCGTCTAACCACATGTGGTGTGATGTGTGAGTTCACCTTGCTTTTATCACACATTTAAACGTAATCAAAAATAGGTGTATTATAGCAGTTTTAAGACATTCATCCCTTTTAATTGTCAATTCTTAGCATCATTTGGTAATTTGGAAACAGTTGCACTTTCAACCAATCCGATTTCTCCGAATGCTTTAGTGTATCGACGTGGGGAAAGTAGAAGGAAAAGTAGTTAAAATCGAAGAAGAAAAAAGTAATCGTTTCCCTTTCACTCCTCTTCCTCTTCCTCCTCCTCATCCTCCTCCCCCTTCGACTATTTTTTGCACCATTCTCCTTAAAGTAGCATTTTTTCCCCTTTTTTATATCAGCATGAAGACGCAGCTCTACTGTCAGTAATGCTTGGAATGTTTAGGGTAATAAAACTGCTTAACTTTTTATTCCCATAGACAGATAATATGCACTGAGTGTCGCAAAGTGCACATAGAAGGGAAAAATCAAGTCATAAATTGCAGGAATGCATAACATAAATAGTCAAGCAGATTTGCATACCTTTGCTCGCCTCCGCAAT